ATTGATATTTCCAAACTGTTACAATTATGTTAGCTAGTTAACACCTTTTTTTTAATAGTGGTAAAGAAAAGTAAGAGGTAAGTAAGGTGAAGAACATTATTCTTAGTAGTGCCATGAAATTTTAGGTGCGTGAAAGGGAGTAATTATACCATATCTGGAGGGGTAAAAGTATCTTTGACATGACTGTGGGTTTTTTCCTGAAAAAATGGATTATAAAGTGTTGGATGCCATCAGAAGGAAACTGTCTCCTTAATTAGTATCAGGTTTTGTATATCTTGCCAAGATTAACAGTTTGTCAGTTGGTAAATAAATATTTGACTCAGATGTAATCAGTGACTTCAGCATTTACACATTGTATAGCTGTCATAATATTGGGAAATTAGATTTTTCTTAGGCCAGTGCAAGCCTTAATGTTCAATCCGTCACAAAGCTTAGGTAGGTCCTGACATGCTTTTAAAGATTTATACTGTAACAGTACATTTAGTAATAGTAATAAACTGACTAAATATTATATTTCACTGTAATGTGCATTTCCAAGGAGTTATATGTTATTCAGTCACTATGTAAAGAAAATGCACACAGATAGCAAGACATGAGATCTCTGAATTGGTCTCACTTTTAAATCGAATTACGTGCTATATTAAAAAATGGCAATATTAGCTCAGGCAGAGTACAATAATTCTGTCAAAGTAAATGCTCTAAAAACTGAAATATTTTCCTGTGTATCATTGCAACGTTTTATGTAACTGACAGAGCAAGGAGGCTTTCTGCTTTTCATTGCAGAGTATTTAGAAAATTAATTGCAAACTTTGTATCTATATAGTATATATTTATATATATAGATACTTATATATTCGTATACATATTATATACAATATTTTCTTATTAATATATGTTTCTCCATTTTATGACTGAGATTTGGAGCTTGAGTCTAAGGACACACCCCAAGACAAAGCACCAAATGTCTGCACTAGCTTAAGAATCTCTTGTCCTGCCTTTGCACTATTACTGTGCTCACACTGTGGCGGGACACTCCCTCTCAGTTGGGCTGGAACAATTTCTGCAGCATTGTACTCTACATCAGGGTTTTGCTCTGTTCTTTCTTACAACCTAATGTGGGTCACAGCAAGGCTTTACAGCACAAACTAAAAGGGATGTAACCCGTGAAGAAGGCCAAAAATAGAAAGCAAATTACTAAATCAGAGTTGTCACTAATCCTTTCTATTGGGGAACTTTTACCTTGCATAATGGCAGAAGAATCCTGCCACAGCCTGAGGTGGGCTTTCACACCTGTGCAGTATTGTATATATCATGGCGTCTGTCATTCAGGAACGTGTCAGTAGTTTTCGTAACAGCTACTCCATTTTTGAGAAATACTTGTTTGGATTTATTGAAAGTCTGTCTTTCAGTAACTGAACTTACTAATTGAGTATAGATTTCAAAACACTTATTCAAGTGAACAGTACTGCTGAAATAAATTTTGTCAAAAGACTTAAATAAATCTGTCAATTCAGAACAAAGAAAAATGTCTAAGAAACTGCAGAAGATGATTTTTCCCTTACCACTCAAAAAGGGTTATTATAATATGGAAAACATTTTTTTTTCCCCAAAGCCAAAGTGCCTCATTTCTGTGGAATGTTTGTCTGTGCTGCCTATATCCTCCTTTCTCCTGATAAAATTTCCAGACAGTTATGCATATTCTTATTAAATGTGTGAACAGACCCTAATATTTATTTCAGGTAATGGAAAAAGTAGTTGGAAATTGGATTTCTGTATTTTGCAAAACACACAGAAAATAAATTATGCTCTAACTTACTCTAATCTTTGAGCACTAACCTTTATATTATTTACTGTTCAGGAATGTTCGAAAAAATCTCATTTAGTGAATGAAATTATTTTTGAGAGGTTTATTGTCAGTTGCCTTGCTGCTCGCTCAGGCAGCTCATGTCACCTCCACTTTCTGTCTATAAAGGCTTCAAACCTGCAACTTTGATTTTCTCAGAAGGACTTCAGAAGTCCTTTAGAAAAGTTTACATTTTCTGTTGAAACTAATAATCAGGTAAGTTCTATTAAAAAACCTCTTTGAACATATTTGATTCTGGCTGTTTCCTCAGGACGGTATGATAGAAATTGTGAAAAGACGTCTGTAGATACCTGATGCCAAATGCTACTGAGAAGCCTGGCTTTGCTTAGTAAGCTGTCAGTCCAAGAATAGTCCAGGGCCCTACAATTTACTTCAAAATAAACTGCAGTTCTTTTGATATCTGTAACATTTATTTGGTGGTACAGAATGTTAACTATAAACTCTGTCTTGGACATATGAATAAGTAATATTTCACTGATTTTCTTCAAAGAGTTGAAGACAACTGATTTTAAGCAAGTCGGTATTTTTGTGTGATGTTAATATAAACCAATAAACTAAACTAAGTAGTATTTTAATTTATTTTTTCAGTTTTTTGAGAGGTTTTCTTCGAATTGTAGTTCAGTTTTATCATTTTGCTATGCTGGTCTGTTTGTCCAAGGAGTTCAGTAATGCGGATTGAAATTGTGTAAGAGACAAGAAGAGTAGAGTGCTGAGGTTTGTCCAAGGAGTTCAGTAATGCGGATTGTAAGCTGGTGTTAGAGACAAGAAGAGTAGAGTGCTGAGAAGTGCTGAGCCAAGGTAGTCAGCTGAGAATAAGGCATAATAAACTAGAAAAACTCAGAGTGAAGAAAAAGAAGATAAAAAGGAAATTAGAACTGAGATAGTTGTGATGGAAGACAACAGTGAAGAAGATAGAGAAGCAAAGAAGTGGCAGTCAAACACACTGGCACGGATAAAGAAAGTATTTAACATCCTTTGTCCAGCAAATATTTGCTGGTGTATTAAGAAGTCCAGAAGAGAAAATGTCTAACAAATCTGAACTCCCAAAACATCCCATAGCTGTAGAAAAGGAGAATGTAGTCTGGATCAGTGCTGGTAGATTGATACCATATTTTTCTGCCAGAGAGTTAATCACAGGCTCACTCTTTATTCACTTTCTCCCTTTTGTGTTACAAATGGCTAGAAAGTGTTTTACACTTAAGGTGTTTTTAGAAGGGAGCAAAAACCCTCTTTATTTTATGTTTTATTTTGCTGATCACACACAGTATGTCTTAGGGGGGCAATATTCTCTTCCTGTGAATGGTTATTGTGAACAGTTACACACCTAGTCATTAATTGTTGTCCTTAAACTTTAATTAGTAGATTTCACTGATACTTTCCTAGACTTATTCTGTGATACCAGCAGAGACTAAGTCCTAAATGGCATCTGTAACTTGGAAACTTAAACACACCAGGCTTCCACTCCCCTTCCCAAGTTGAGCTCTTTGTTTCTCACTGTGCATTTGTATAGGTGGTGACTTGCCTTACTTGTTAACGCTGAAGCCTGATACAGCTTAGATAGTTGTAGTATTTCGGAAGACTATGCTGCAGTTCAGTGGAAACAAATTCTGTCATCTGTCAGGAGACCAGACTCTGGTGTTTTCACAAGCCAGGATCACTTCTGAGTCATCTCACCTATACTTTTATTTATCATTCCCTTTAACATTCCCCATGTTAAAACAGTAATCAAAAGGGACGAACATATTAAGTGCTGTAACCTGAATTGAAACTGTCTGCAATGCACATAAGATTGGGGGAGAAATAAAAGGAAATGGGTGTTTGGTGTCTGAGAAGAGCAGACAATGGAGCCTAAAATGCAAGCCGAGCTAGAAAGCTAAACTTAAGCAAACTCGAAAGAGCAAAGCCCATGGTTATGTTTTAAAGCACTGGATGCAAATTCAGACATCCTGTAAAATGGTGAAATTATATCATTGTGTCTGGAAAGCAGCCAGCAGTATTCAGCGCATGTTGGAAAGGAGATGAAGTAATCCCTGACTAAGGATTGCAAGAGTCTCTCTATGAACATTAAGCCATGCAGCAAAAAAAAAATAATAATAATTTGGAGGCAAGGCCAATGTATGTGGTTTTATTCTATGTGTAGTAAGGGATATCAAAAAAAGATTTTCATCTATGTTTGGAAGATATCCTGCCTGAAACATTAAAAAGGCACAAAAAATTGTAATGTATGAGAATGCCCTGTACACCTCTATGAGCTAAACCCCAGAGAGATCTGTATTAATGTTTTGGGGTTTTTTCTCAAATACAGTGCTAAAAATCAAGGAGACAAATATTGTGGTCTGACTGCTGCTTTAGCTACCTAAATCCAAAAATTGTATATCTCCACTGCCAGCAGTAAAGTCCCCTTGATCTCCAAATTGTCATTCTTAAATCTTACCAATGTCAAAAGCTAGGTGACTCTCTTAGGCTTAAACCTCCCATCCCTTTGTCACTAATAGAGAATAAAATAGCAACATAGCAAATATATAAAAACTATATAAAAAAGAACAAAGAACAAAAGAAAACTATTTTTGTCATAGTTAAGGAAGAGCGCTAACTAAAACATTTTGGATATGTCTAGCCATATTAAAGATAAATTTATGCCTTAGCATGTAGTAAATTTTGTGTCATGTAGCAGGGCACAGAAGGGATAGTCACTTGTACATATCTACATTGTTTATTGAACTTTTTCTTTGGATTTTTTTCAGCAGTCTCAGGTCTTCAGCAGCAAACTGTTTTAATACATCTGTTATTTCTACGTGTTTACTGTTTAATTGTTGAGCAATGGTTAGCATGTAATGCTAGCTTATTTACCATATTTTTCATTTACAGTGCTTAACATGTTTTTCCTATAACACTGCCTAAGTGGCATTGATTTTAACATCATCTGAATATCTACTAGTGAAGACTTTATATTGGCATGTAACATACCAGTGACATGGGGAAAATTTTATTTAGGTTCCTACTGCTACCTGCAATGAGAGAGGAAAATTCAGAAATCCAGATTATGCGGTTGCGTAGTGAAAACCACAAAAATGATAATTATTAACAGTAAGGAAAATCTTAATTATTTTTTTTTCTAACAGGTGCAGCAGAGAAACTAGAGGAAGTTTACTACCTCTGCTTGATCACATTGTGTGTGAGAACACAGTATCAGCCACAGTATCTGCACTGAACCATCCCGCATTTTCAATTACTTCAACTTGGTTGTAGGTGGGAGATGAGACTTCAGGATCTGACAACACTCAGAACCAAGTAAGTTTTACAAGTCAGCTACATGAACGAGTTAATCTAAGGTATATTGTGGTGCTGCTTTACAAAGCAAAAGCTGATCTGTAGTAGTTGCCCTCATGTATGCTTTTACTCCACAGGAAATAGCAGATAATGGATCATGCAAAGTAGGTGATGGATCTTGCATTTACTGTGTGAGAACAAAATGTGTATGGGCAGTAACTACAGGGTAGTTAGTGCCCCGTGTATCTGCATTTTGTATTTTCGTGGTTACTGAGTATGTAATGCTTCCAGTTACACTAGGGAATGCCTAGATTCTTTTAAGTTCAAAAATGAGAAAGCCTTTTCAGAGATCTCTAGTGCTTGGTTCTGTTGCATCAATACTCATGGACCAAGTACTTATTTAAAAAACAAATTTATCTGAAGCTTTGTGTCTGGTAATGCTCAGATGGGGGATAGAATCTCTTGAATGGTGGTGGTGGTTGATGTCTGGGTGGTAACAGAAGCCTGTTGCAGGGGTCCTTGCAATGACATATTCAGCTCCCCACACTTGTTCTGCTGAAGCCTTTTATTTAGCTGCCTGGTAGTCCTACATGACCAATCCAGCACATGCATCGTCTGTAGCTATTGATTATCTTAAATTAACAAACAGAACTTCAAGCTATCTGAGCTATATACAAGGAGACCTTTGCCATTTCTGCCTCTGCAAAACACATTCTGCCATTTAGAGATGTCTTGCCTATGCACCATCTGATTAACTTTGCAGTGGGAATTTTCTGGAAGGGCCAGACTCTCTGTCAAGGGTGTTAATCAGCACATCAAAGCATGGGAGTTTATGTAGGCCCAGCAGAAGCTGCAGGAGGGAATCTTCGTAACTGACGCAGATTCCCAGCTGGAGAGCTGCTGCACCTCTTAGTCAAATAGGTAACGCTGGAGGTGGTTGGGAGTTCATTAAGCACCTGGTTTGGAGGTGAGCCACTGGCTCCCCTGGGCAGAGGGCTGGCCTGGGGATTCCTGGGCCAGCAGAGGAATTAGCAGCTCAGTGTTCTGAGGGGTGCTCAGGGGCACAGCCCTGATAGCCCATTACACCACAGTTACAGCTCTGGGGCAAACTTGAATGTCACGCTTAAATTCCACTGACAACTTCAGTTCCATAGCTCTGGCCACAGCTGTTGAACTTTACTGGAATTTGGAGATCATATACATTAATGCAGACCGGTCATTTGTAAACTGCTGAACTGTTTTCATTCACTGGCTCTGTATTAATTCTTTTCTATTATGTAGTATATCAGCAATGCTGTCTCTGGGAAATGATTATATAGAGAGAAGTTGATTGTCCTTACAGTAATTGTCCAGTATTGTTATTAATGCAAGTAATTTTCATAACTCACTGTGCATCACACTGAAAATGCACACCTCAATGCCATCTTAGCAAAGATCTGTGATAGGGTGAGGCTTTTCAATTCTGCTGAAGATGTTTGTTAAATTAAACTTTGTATTTCAGCTCAAAGCTAGTTGGTGCATAGTGACACTGAAGACCAATTACTGTTGGAGTTCCTGTTGTGATGTTTAGTTTCTTAGCCTCTGAGAGAGTGAAAAGAAAAAAGAGTAGTAATTAGTTTTATAAGTGTCATAGTCCATTTCTTAGCTTGATCTGTCAGAAACAAGAAAACAAATTAAGTAGGAAGAGATACTAAATTAGGGAGGAGGCGCTATTGACATAAATGTGATCATGGAGTATTATCTTCTGTGTTTCCTTTGCTAGGCAGTTAGTGGTACTGCAGTACAGCATCACAGCTAGCAGGAGGGGGTTGGGTTTGGTTGTTTTTTCCCCTGTCATTAAGTTAAACCAGTTTGTTTCTACAAAAAAAATTGCAAATAATAACAAAACCCCATACTGCTTTATAACCAATCCTCACATGCCGTAAGTACACAGATGTTTCAATTATTGTAATTTGCTGGCCAAGCAAACATATATTACAGCTTGGAACACTCCTTTGTTTTATTATTTTCAAGCACATTCAGGAAGCATCTTTAAGCAAAGTCTTATCATGTGTGGATGACTTACTGATGAGGTTATAGTAGTTGTCCTTTTTGACAGGTTCTCTGTTGATCTTATACATTGTACCCCATTCTGAAGTGAATTTGTCTTGCCATGCCTGGGACAAGATTGGGCATAGTTTAACTGAAAGTCTTAACCACTGAACTTACCGCATGTAACGTACTTATTATTACCACCACTAGCATTTGTTTGTCTTTGAGATGAGATAATATATCTGGAAATGAATAGTATTTTGTAGTGTAATTATGGGCATATCTGTATCTCTTTTCATGTTCGTCAAGGAAAGTAACTGGGTTTCTTGCTGAAGCTCGTACTGCTTTAATTTATGTCATTTACAGCAACGCATTGCTTGGAGAATTTAACTGTTACTAATAGCTCTTTCATAAATCCAAAGTATTTCTTTTTTTCTTTTCAAAGTACTGATGTATGTGTTTGTTTTCAAAGATTAATAAAGCAGAAAACTTAGCAAGAATGTTTATAAAGCGAGAGCACTAGAGCTTATAAGTGATTGAGAAAAGGGTAGAGTTGCGGAGATGGAGTGCTGCTTCATGGCAGGAAGATTGCTCACTTAATCCTGAGCTCCTGATCTGCTTTAGTGACTGGAGGCTGAGTTTTGAACAGGCGTATAGAGCTGAAGGTAAAGTGTGACCAAACATCAAACTGTGGAGGTTTAGTCAGATGCTTGTAACCTTTCCTGCAGGCAGCATTTCTTCTCCTGAACCCAGTACCACGGGCTCAGGGTCTTTCTGCTGACTCCATGTAATTAGTCTTTCCTTTGTTTTGAGAGAGCAGAACCTGTTTCGCAGCTTTTTTACTTAAAAACTTGGCTAAAGTGATTTTTGTTTGGCGTGTGTTTGATACCACTTAAGGGCAAAGCTAGATGTTACCTATGATGCAGGTTTTCTTATTTGGGCTGGACTGACACCATCCCATCTCAGAGAAAATCGGCATCAAGATATTCCAGAGCTTCTCTGAAATTTCCTCTTTCTCCCGCATTTGATTCTTCCTGGCATTTACTGAGCTTCGAACTGAGAAATAGCTTCATGTGAATAACATCCAATCCTGTATTCATTCACTGTACAGCTCAAAGTGCAGGCGGTCAGCTCAGCCCATCAGTTGGCTTTGCCCTCTATCTCTTGTCAGCATTGCCGTCTGTCAGAGGGTCACCTCCCGGTCCCTGGGGAGCAAAGTGCCCTGTGTTAGCTCTGCTGGCCTGTCAGTTTTAGTCACTGGACTCTTTGCAGTAAGTTGGAGTGAATTTGCATAAATATTCCTTGTCAGGTCCTTTGTTTTGGCTTGATTAGGTGAAATTAATATTTGTTCCTGTGCACTCACCTGAAGATACTTATTTTTCTTAGTGCAAAAGCCATTGCATATCTCCAAATGTTTGTAGTCCCTGGTAGTATTTGGACATTTCCCATGCTAGTGAGTTTGTCTTGTCTCAGAAGAGCACATTGCAGCCTCTTAGCACACATGTGGAAACTCGGGGAAATTAAATTAATTGGTTAAAGTAATGCAGGAGGCTGTCATGAAGCAAGTCTTCCAGATTTCTGATTTTCAGACTAATGCTCTGAGTTGGTGTATGCTCTTCTCTTTCTTGTATATTTTTCTAAGCAAACCTCCTCTTGTTTTTCTTAAGCTGTTTCCAAAATATTCTTTACTGCCTATACAGGAACCCCTTCTGTAACCAAGTTGACAAAGTATATTCTTTCCTGGCTAACAGTTAAGGTCATTTGTATATTTGTTCTGTCCCAGTTGAAACTAATATCCTTTTCCCCCCACTACTCTTCTCTCCGGCATCTGTCTTTCCTGGCTGCAATCCTTCTGGATTCTAATTAGGCTTCCAATGGCTTGGCTCAGGGTGTAACCATAACCAATTTATCATTCTCTTCATCTCCCTCCGGGACATTCATTGAAAGAACAGTACCTGAATATTTCCCCTTTATCTACAATTTCCAGTCTATATCAAACATGAAATCTTGACAGATGGAGTCCAATCTGTCACAGTGAGTTAGTGTATTTTTCTTCTGATTGAATTTATTTATTGTACAAAGAAACACAGAAAATTTGTAAAGGTGACTATTTAAAATTTGGGATATAGAATGGCTGGTTGGGAGTTTCTTTTGGTTGTTTATTTTTTTACATCTGAGGATGCGGATTGTGTTAAATGAACAAGAAAATGATGTGAGACTTGTTTTTTGTTGTGGTAAGAGGAGGGACAGATCTGATCATAACAAAAACAGATGTAATGTGCAAAGCTATAACGTAGTCCCTCATGTTATCTACTACTCACTCTCACACTGACCGGCAGAGAATGCAAGGAAACGTTCTGCCGTCTGCCAATAGAGCCTCTGCCAGCGAATCAGTGGGTAAGATAGTTCCTGAAATATATTCTGCTGTAGAAAAGTGTGATAAAAAATTATTCTGCCAAAGTGCTGGGCCAATCAATCAAGTGTTAATGATGGATCATGAAACCCATTTGTTGACAAATAAAACCTTGCGTGCTGTGCCAGTGAAACCAACTGTGTCACCCGTCTCCAGTGACTGCCTGAAATATCATTTGCAGAAGCAGAATTTATTGGTGGAAGGGGGTAATACTGTAGCTAGCCCATCCAACTGAGTTTGCAGGTGCATCGTAGTCCTAACTCTTAATGGTGCTTGGCCCCACCGGGGATATTGAAGTGTTCCCTAAACCAAGGGTTCTGTGGGAGGGCATGGACCAAGACCAAGCATGACACAGGCTCATGCGTTCAGACCTTGCAGCTGGTTTCAGTATTTTTGACCATGTGATGCAGTTAGTATGGCTGCAGGCTTTCACAGGAATACTAAATGAAATGTTTTATTCTGGGAGGCAGCGGAGCCGAGCAATTATATTTAAAACCTCAGAGGTTCTCTAGGAGAGATCAGAGCTGGAATTCCTTCTGTTGCCATGCCTGCAAGCAGGGTTGGGAAGCTTTCGTGG